AGTATCCTAAATGATAAATCACTAGAAGGTATCCCTAACCTACGTCTTTTCCGCCTGAAGGAACGCAACCAATTACAGTTTTTTCTATCCAACACCGCTGGTAAATGGCACCATGAACCTGATGCAATGTCAAGATTCCCCACACGACCTGCTACTGAATTAGTCACCACTACAGTCCATCTCTCCACCCCTGACATGGATCACGTTATTACCAATGCAGATATTGGTGCCCTGACTGAAACTAGTCATGACGGTGCCATCTCTTGGAGCGAGCTACAATCCACAGGTGCAAAAGACCCTACTTATGTCTTCCTTCTCCAGACTGTACAGGACTGCTTCCCAGGCAAAGGCAAGATGACCCAGAAATCTTCCGCACATTCTGGAGGTTTCTTGAGCGCCTGAACAAAGTTGATAGTGTGGCCCTTGTGGACTCATGGCCTGTTATCCCAGCAGCATACACGTGCAAGAGAACTTGAAGTCCTCCACTCCGCTCACCAGGGTATCGCTGGCGAGGGCACGTCTTAGTGTATACTGGCCTGGTTTTAATAAATCTCTCAGATATCGCCTAGACACATGCCACTACTGCTGTGTCCATGCACCATCTCTCCCTCGAGAACCTTTAACTTTGGCAACGCCTCCATCATGGCCCTATGATCACGTGGCAGTGGACTAATTTCATCATGCTGGGAAATCATACTTAGTATATACAGATAGATACCCATGTAATCTACAGGTATTCCACAACCCCCCTGGCCCTCAGCCATTTCATCTCATCATTCCATTTTATCTTCCTACAGTATGTTCCCCCCCGTGAATTGGCCAGTGATGGTGGTCCTACACTTATTTCCAAAGAATTTCTCGCCAGTTGGTGTGTCACCTATCGTTTTAGCTCTGCATATTATGCACAGTCAAACAGCCAATTGCAAGCCACTCCCAGTTCTTAAGTTGGGGGATCATGTCGCTCTACAAAATCAGGGAACCAACTGACTTCGCAACCGGGACCGAACGGGAATGGTGGTAGATGGTTTACATCGCCAGTTCACGTTACGGTCTGACGGGTCTGGCCGTGTCACCATTCGCAAACGTCGTTTTCTACGTTCCATCTCCTAGATCAGCATACTGCTTTGGAAACGGGAGGGGAGGAGGGAGATGACATATAGGAGTATAGCATCGGTACGATGTAACGTGTAGAAGTACGACAACGGTGCGAGACAAGACGGGCAGTCTGGCTGGAAAGCACGTGGTGATATCTAGTGCATATAAGCCCTGTACTATCATCCGATGCTTTGTAATTGTACGTTAGATATATCAACAGCCAGCAATGAAACACATAACATAAATGTGTTTCCTACCCCCTGGTGAACGTCAGTTATCATTATTATCATTATTACATTTGTTATCTTTTTCATTATCATTATAATTTTGTCATTAACGCTATCATCATTATTACTATATCTATCATTATTATCATTATCATAATCAGTATTACATTTGTCATTATTATTATTGATATTATTGCTGTCATCATTATCATTTTCATTTCTACTACTCTTTTCGTTATTATTATTATTAACATTATCATTATAATATAATTTTTAATAGTATCGTCGTTATTATTATGATCATTATTTTCATCATTATTCCTATTGTTATTATAATAAAGTTTCTTTATGATATTATCATTATGATGGTGCTTATCCTCATCAATATCATTATTATCATCATCAGCACCATTTTTGTTACCGTTATCTTTACTACCATTATTATTAATATCATTGTCATTATCACTAACATGATAATAATAATAATAAAAATAATAATGATACTAATAATAATAATATCATGGTTATCATTATCAGTGTTATTATAATTATTATCATCATAATTAATAATTATTATTAACATCATTGTTATTAATTTCATTATGATTGTTACTATAATGATTATTATCATAATCAATCATTATCATTAGTATCATTATTATCACTATCATCATTGTCATTATTATTATTGTCATTATTATTATTATTATTATTATCATTATTATTATTATTATTATTATTATTATTGCTGCTGCTGCTGCTGTTGTTGTTGTTGTTGTTGTTGTTGTTATTATTGTTATTATTATTATCAATTGTTATTATCTGATTACTCATAGGATTACTATCATTATCATTATTATCATTATTATCATTACTATCATCATCATCTTTATTGTTAACATTATTAGCAATATCATTATTGTTATTATTATTAACAACATTATTGTCATTATTATCATTATTGTTATCATTATCATTTTTATCATTATTATGATTATTATCATCACCGTTTGTGCTTTTATTATTGTCATTATTATTATAATAATTATTATCGTTATCATATAACAATATATATAATATAATTATCAATACTATTATCATTATTTATTATTATTATCATCATCATTACTATTATTATCGTTATTATTATTATTAGTAGTAGTGGTACAAGGATCATA